GCTTCAATTTGACTCCCAGATATGAAGAGCAGGCCCAAAATATACTATTTAGCAGATTAGCATCCAGAAAATAAGAATTTTTACAACTGCGCAGTAAGTGTAGTATTAGATGCTTCTATTTGACTCTCAGATATGAAGAGCACCCCCAAAATGTACTATTTAGCGGTTTTGCACCAAAACAATTCCGAATTTTTACAACTGCGCAGTAAGCGCACTATTAGACGCTTCTATTTGACTCTCAGTACATTTTGGGGCCTGCTCTTCATATCTAAGAGTCAAATAGAAGCGTCAAATACTGCTGTCACATTGCAGTTTTAAAAAGTCATTTTATTTTGGTGCTAAACTGCTAAATAGTACATTTTGGGCGTGCTCTTCAAATCTGAGAGTCAAATAGAAGCATCTAATAGTGCGCTTGCTGAGCAGTTGTAAAAATTCTTATTTTCTGGGTGCTAATCTGCTAAATAGTACATTTTGGGACCTGCTCTTCATATCTATTTAGCAGATTAGCACCCAGAAAATAAGAATTTTTACAAATGCGCTGTAAGCACACTATTAGACGCTTCGATTTGACTCTCCGACATGAAGAGCAGGCCCAAAAATGTACTATTTAGCAGATTAGCAGCAAAACAATTAGAATGTTTACAAGTGCGCTGTAAGCACACTATTAGACGCTTCGATTTGACTTTCAAATATGAAGTGCACGCCCCAAAATGTACTATTTAGCAGATTAGCACCCAGAAAATAAGAATTTTTACAACTGCGCAGTAAGCGCACTATTAGACGCTTCTATTTGACTCTCAGATTTGAAGAGCACGCCCAAAATGTACTATTTAGCAGTTTAGCAACAAAACAATTAGAATGTTTACAACTTCGCTGTAAGTGCTGTATTTGAAACTTCTATTTGACTCTCAGATATTAAGTGCACCCCACTAATGTACTATTTAGCACCAAAATAAAATGACTTTTTAAAACTGCAACGTGACAGCAGTATTTGACGCTTCTATTTGAGACTCAGATATGAAGTGCACCCCACCCCACTAATGTACTAGTTTGCAAGAATTATTTTCTAAGCTGTCCTCTCCCTACACTAATAAGAGCTCATGTGCGTGTGGCGCTACGCGACTCCAGCTTATATATAGAGGCTGGGTCACATGCTGCACTGGCCAATGACAGCCATGCCATTAGTAGGCATGGCTGTGATGGATTCTAAGGGCACACGAGCCAAACGCTTGTTGATTGGCTGCCTGCAGCTTTTGAAAACGTGCCATTAAATCGCCGAACACCGAACTCCAACCCGAACATACAGTGATATGTCTGTGTTCGGGTCCGGGATCCAAAAAACATAATGTTCGGTACGAGCCTGAACTTTTCAGTTCGGGTTCGCTCAACTCTAATTTTCAATTAACATTCGGCTCCTATTCAACCTTATTTGTTTGAAATTTGGCTGGAATTTGACTACTCTTGATTACAACAGGGAACAGTTTCTTTAAAAAGATTACTGAAGATACAGTTCTAATTTTCTCAATACAATTTGGTTCAAATCCAATGTCTTCTAATAAGCAGGGCCGGATTAACATAGGGGCTGATGGAGCTGCAGCTCCAGGCCCATGGAATAGGCCCATTTAAAAAAAAAAAAAAGAGAATTTTTTTTTTGTTTTTTTTACACACTACTCTTAGGTTTGCCACCTGACTGGTATTTTAATGGCACAGACAGTATTTGAGGCTGCCTGGCCCTGCCGGTATTGCAGTAATACCAGCAATACAAATGCAGGTAATTTTCTCAGAATAAATGGAAATTACTCTGCAATACCAGCACCAGCCAGTAGGGGTCACTGTGTGTGGAGAGAGGCAGGGATAGGAAGTTACAGAATATCCCTGCCTCTCTCTACTACTCACTGATCCGTGGGGGAGCAGCTACACAGCACAGAGAGTCCAGACAGCAGCTCTACAGCTCAGGTAAGTGAGGGATGGGGGAAAGGCAGCAGGGACACATGGGGACACTGAGACACTAGGGGACACATGGGGACACTGAGACACTAGGGGACATATGGGACACTGAGACACTAGGGGACACCGACATTAGGGGACACATGGGGACACAGACACTAGGGGACACATGGGGACACTGAGACACTAGGGGACACATGGGGACACTGAGACACTAGGGGACATACACTAGGGGAAACTGAGACACTAGGGGACACATGGGGACCCTTAGACACTAGGGGACACATGATGACACATACACTAGGGGACACTAGGACACAGACACTGGGAGACCTGGGAACACTGAGACACTGGAAAACATGGGGACACTGAGACACTTGGGGACATATGGGAACACAGACACTAGGGGACACAGACACTAGGGGACACATGGGGACACTGTCACTAGGGGACACTGAGACACTAGGACACATGGGGACACAGACACTGGGAGACCTGGGGACACTGAGACACTAGGGGACACTGAGACACATGGGGATGCTGAGACACATGGGGATGCTGAGACACATGGGGATGCTGTGAGACATAGGGACATTGGGAGACATTGGGACACGGAGACACTATGTCCCCCAGCCAGTGTCCCTAGTGTCTCAGTGTCCCCAAGTCTCCCAGTGTCTGTGTCCCATGTCTCTCAGTGTGCCTAGTGTCCCCATGTGTCCCAGTGTCCCCATGTCTATGTCCTCAACTGTCCCCGTGTCTCCCCAAGTGTCTGTCTCCCAGCCAGTGTCCCCTAGTCTCCCAGTGTCCCCTAGTCTCCCAGTGTCTGTGTCCTTAGTGTCCCCAAATGTTTCAGTGTCTCCATGTCTCCCAGTGTGTTCCTAGTGTCTCAGTGTACCTGGTGTCCCCATGTCTCAGTGTCCCTATATGTCCCAATGTCCCCATGTCTATGTCCACAACTGTCCCCATGTCTCCCAGTGTCCCCTAGTCTCCCAGTGTCCCCTAGTCTCCCAGTGTCCCCTAGTCTCCCAGTGTCTGTGTTCCCATGTCTGTGTCTTAGTGTCCCCATGTCTCCCAGTGTCTGTGTCCCTAGTGTCTCAGTGTCCCCATTTCTCCCAGTTTCCCTAAATGTATGTGTGCCCAGGTCTCAGTGTCCCTGGGTCTCTCAGTGTCCCCAGTATCCTAGTGACATGGGGACACACTAGGACACAGGGAGAAATGGGGACACAGACACTGGGAGACTAGGGGACTGGGCGACATGGGGACACTGGCACTGTGATACATAGGGATACTGAGACACTGGGTGACTTGCGAGACTGAGACACTGGGAGCAATCCATCTATACAGCAGAATCAAACTGTTAGTAGTTTGGTGATTTTATAGAATTTTCTCTGATGTCACTCCTTGTGATTTACATCATGTGATGTCACGCATAACTAATTAATCATACAAATTATTAAGGCTGGTATTTTTTTCCAAGAAAGGTGGCAACCTTAACTACTCTTCACATACTCTTGCTTAAAGGAGCACTATAGGGTCAGGAACACAATCATGTATTTCTGACCCTAATATGTTAAAACCACCACCCTGGCCCCTTCTTGCCTCCCTAAATATAGTAAAATATTACTTGTATTA